GATTTGGTCAGGTTTTAAAAGTAAATTAATTATTATTTTTTAAATGCTTTGAATTTACAAAGACAAAAGAGTACATTTCCACTGGAATCGGCGGAACACTCTGCTTCTAATTATATTCTGCTGCTCCACTTCTAAAAAGGGGATCGACCTTCTTTTCAGCAAAGCTACTTGCTTCCACGTGCATTGTGGGATCAGAGAACTTTGGTGTTGACTCTCGTGGGAGTTTTGCAGCACTATCTCTTGTTATGAGCACAATTCTGGTTTTTCTTCCCATCTCAAAAGGCTGTGAAAACATTCCCAGGAGCAATTCCTGATAGAGAGAACACACTAACCGAAACAACAAGAAAACTCTTAGCTGCAATGGAACATTTGGATTGTGCAAATTATCACTCTTCATAAAGTAGACTTCCAATTATTATTATTATTTTAATTTTTTTAAAATTGTGTGTGTATGTGTGGCATTTAGGGGACCATATGTAGGGCAAGAAAAAGGCTGCACAATAGATTAAGCTAACAGGTGTCATTGCTGTGCAGGCTTTGCTAACATTTGTGGAAGCTGGTTATTGTGTAGAGCAGAAAACAAATACAGTAGCACTTCAGCTTAGTTACGTTACGTTACCCTTGGGTAAGGTAAACTTTGGGTTGTGAAAGTGGCAAGCCTGGAAGTGTTTCGCCGCATGTGCAGAAGTGGTCTACCGCCGTGCGCATGCGCAGAAGCAGTCTACCGCCATGCGTGCATGTGCAGAAGCGGTCTACCGCTTCTCCTCCGGTTGCGAAAACCTCAGGATCCAGCTGGACTTCTGGAACGGATCCCGTTCACAACCAGAGGTACCACTGTACAGCCCTTTTCCTGGGGTGAGTCTCCATAAAGAAACAACAACAAGGTTTGGCTGTAAAAAAACACACAAAAAACTAGTGAGACCATTGTGGACCTGGGGGTATGAGCTGTGGAGCTCTAACTTGAATTAGTGACACCCTATACAAATAGTTGCACCCAAGACACCCAGAAGAAATAAGCTACCATGTTCTGGTCTCCCTGCCTGGCCTCGTGCCACTGAATGAGCATCTTGAAATTCAAGGGGAGAAAACTGTTAGCTGAGAGACGTCCTGTGCTTGCAACCGTAACCCTTTTCCAATGAACACTGCATGCATTTCTTCATGTAATGGAGGGCCAGGATGGTTCTGCTTGACTAAAATGGGCTCCCCCTGTCGTGTGGAGGATCCTGGCATGGACTGCAATGTACACATGGAAACCCAGTTCTCAGAGTGAAGGTGGATGGAAGGGGGCTATTCAGGAGAAGAGGGCTCGTGATCACTTGTCTTGTCGCATTTACAGTCTTAAGAAAACACGTGACACACATGACAAAGGGCATTGAGAAGTAGGTGATTGTTGGGTGGGCTTGTAGGTGGTGGTAGGTCATCAGCTGGAGGGGGTCCCTGGCATTGGCATCCCCTGTACTGAATGGTCTCAGAAGTATGGAAACATGTGAATTGTCTGGACCTTCTGCATGGAAGGAATGAGTCCTCTGGTCCTCAGCTCCCTGGTTGCATGTGCATAATGTTAAATCAGCAGTAGAAATGTCTGCTTTATGAGCAGCAAGACCTATGTGTTGATTCACCTCTTGATACCATTAGAAAGCACTTTGAATTCAGGATTCAGTATAATTTAAAATGGCGTGTTGCTTATTTTTGTTAGTTAAACAAACAAGGAAACGCGCTCCTTCCCCAACGTAAATTTGACATGGATCAACAAGCACAGCAATGGAGCAACTCGATGTGCTTAAAATGAGTTTCTTCTGCATCTTCCAGGCTCTCAAAGCTCTGGGATCAGAGGATTGGTGTAAGAAAAAAAGCAACTTTAATACCATTTAATTAAAAAAACACTGTGCTCAGATCACCACAGCTGGTTTATGTGCAGTTTCTAGTTGTTCCAGAAACAAGCACCTTGATTTGTAGTTTTTCAGTCTGTGTGGTTCTGGGTATTTTTAAATCTGTCTTGTAAAATTAGATAACACATGTGTAAGAAGAAGTAATTACTTGATGCTTTACCAAGGAAAGCATTTAATGAAGGTAAAAGCAACTGGCAGCAGCTACATTATAGATATGCAATCCCATGGCAAGCACACACACTTCTATTTTTTGTTAAGACCATGTACTCAATAATCCTGTGAATTCACATTAGATCAAGCACAGCTTTGCATCAAGAATAGTTCTTTTTGCTATAACTGTATCTAAAGCTTTGGTGATTTCCCCCCCTCTTAGGATTCCCCCCCCCTTTTTTTACTGATCTGTCTTTTATGGATAGCATTTGCTGAAATTTGGATAATAGCCCACATTTGCAGGTTGCCTTAGCTTTTAAGAACCTTAATTTTTAAGAACTTAATTCTTGAAAATAGGGCTTTAACTATCTAGAGGAGCCTTGACAGTTCTTTGGCTGACATGCCGCTTGGTTGTAATGCTGATGAAGACGTAAGATGAGGTGGGTTGAGGATAACAGCTAGAGTTGGCTCTCCCAGGAGAAGACTTTGTTGACCTTGCAACAGGTTCCTTGGCATGGTAACTTTTGTCCTAGCTGCTCTTACTTACATATGTACTAAGCTCAGAGAAGCTATACCTCTGTGTAAACAGTTTCCAAAAACCTGATTGATCAGATACAAGAGGACTATAGGAGGAGACAGAACCATTCAAAACACTGCCAGCTCTCTTAAAAACCTTAGTTCTTAGGCCAAGACACATTACCACCATCACCCTTGTGTGTGTGTGTGTGTGTGTGTGTGTTTAGGGTAGTAGATGGTTAATGTTTTAAGCTTTGTTATCCCACCACTGCCAAGAATTGGTTTATATCTTCCCAACAAATACTGAGAAACAGCTTGTGGAACTGAACCAACCAAATATATAAGTAATCCATGAATGCTTTTGGATGGTATTCGAAATCCAACAGCTCTGATAAAAGCAGGACATTCCATTGTTTGTTTGTTTTGCACAGCGGCCATTTTTGGGTGCCACAATCTCTTCCTGAAAAAAAGCACTTTTCAAGGCCATGATCTTGTGTGTGTCATGTGACTTGCGTGGGAGTGTGGACATGGAAAACCACGTCCCATTTACTCATCTGGGAATGTGTGATATCTAGACTGCAGTAGTTATAGTATTGGACAAGGACTTGGGTTCATATCCTCACTCAGCTATGGAACTCAGTGGGTGATGGGTCAACCTAAGCTCTCTCACAAGGCTATTGTGAAAACAAAATGGAGGGGAAGAGGGGCATGCACACAGAGACCAGTACAAAATTTAAAGCAATTAAATTGCATTTCAAAGCATCAGTATTTTTTCTTATCCAGTTGTACATAGTGGTTTTACAGGGCTGCTTGTATAGGGTAATGTAAACAAATAGATCCTCCATTTTTTTAAACATCGAATCTTAACTGATTGCTTGAGTTATGCTAGCTTAGCCCAAAATATTTAATATTAAATTTTAAAAGGGGGAGGGATTGTGGTTGACGTGGACACCATCACCCAGCGCTTAAAAATACAATCGGTAGCTGATGCCTAGGACCTGTGGTTTCACTGCAGTACATTCCTCTTGCTTTTAAAAAGCAATTTTGCATTCTGTTTGGAAGAGGGGCATGTGTCTTGATTTTGTGTGTGTCTTTGCTTTATTTCTAATCTCTTAGTGAATGAAAGGCTATATCCAGGCACAAATCCAGCAGCTTAATTCTCCATCTGATTAGAGCAATGTTACTAACTTGATGGGTTGAAAACAGCCAAGATCCAGGCAGTGGCTTAGCCTCCCGGGAGGCAGAGTAATAACAATCAAATGAAGATGTATTAAAATGTAATATTACTTGCGCTCCATGGGGACTGTATGGAAATCATAACCCAGAAACTTTCTTGTCTGTCTGTCTCACTGATTTCTTTTCCTCTGCATTTAGAGTGAGCCCACTTCATTCTATAAGCAGGGGTGGCATAGTTTTTGAAGCATATAAATGTGACGAATCAAAACTTGGTTTATGGGATTTTCAGTGCTTTTAATGTAAGATTACCCTTTGAAGACCATACTTTTTCAGCCAAGTAAAATGTTCCTTGAGCTTGAAACCATATTTAGAATTGTATTTTAGAATTGCTCTGCATTGCCCTTAGGTTTTTCACTGTGTTTTTTAATTGCGTATTTTTTAAAAAACGAAAACAAGGAATAATCATGCAAGCCCTGCTTTCTTTATAGAAATATAATTCCTGTAACTTCAGTGTATGCTACACAAGTTGGGATATTGAGATAAAATAACATAACAGTGACAAAAACATGTTACACTAGTTTATTCATTACATTGATATTTTGTCTCTATCTCTGGGTGATTTACAGAAATAAAAAAGCAAGCACAAAATTTAAATGATAAAAATACTAAAACCAATTATAAACCAAGACAGCCAAGGTCACAACACAAGCACTGCAACTAAAACCAACATAAAAGCAGCAGGGGGAATATCTCAGCCTGCAGAAATCGGAACTCACCAAGCAAAATGCAGCCTAGTGCGTACGTATGTGGCCAGTTTAGCTAACTTACATGGGCAGCAAAAGCAGCCGGTTCGTAAAGTCCTCAGTGGACTGGTGTTTATTTATTTAAAATGTATATCCCAGCTATCTGCCTGAGAACGAAGCACTCCAGGCAGGCTGTATCCAACTGTATCCAACTATCTAGAATACAAACAGTATAAAAAAGAAACTTCAGATCATGTTCCGAAAGCAGAAACAGTATCAGTCACAGTGGTATGAGACTGGCCTTGGCAGAGTCAGTCACAAACAAATTGTGTAGGAGACTAGGTAAAAAATATTTGGCAAACAACATTTTTTGTCTTCAGCTTTATTATTATTCTGCATTATTTATTTTCTTTGGTGTTAGTTATTCACTGATTCAAATGGGCTTCCAGTTGTGGTTTTCTGTGTAACAAGTTTGTTGAGTAATAAACAATATTGAGATTGAGGTTAAGAGATATGAATGAGACAGGCCTGGATAGGTCAGTTGGTTGGAGCGTGGTGCTGATAATGCCAAGGTTGCAGGTTCGATCCCCATAAGGGACAGTTGCACATTATTGCATTTCAGGGGGTTGGACTAGATGATGCTCAGGATCCCTTCCAACTTTATGATTTATATATATATAGATAGAGAGAGAGAGATTTAAACATGGTGAGATGTATTTGTTTTTATGTCAGTGAAAACCTTACTGTTTCCTTACATGGACTAGAAATGGCTCCGATTTCATAGAAAGGCAAGCTAGACCTTTTCATCCATGTTGGGAGCCTGAGTTCATCTTCTTTAGTTTGCTGGGTGATACCAGCAAAAGGAGGACAAACCACTGTTCTGTTCCTAAGTAACTGCAATTTGAGAGGGGGAGGGGAATTCATTTAACAAGTTACTATGATAGTTTAGTTTTTATTATGGTTCCAACATTGGACCGTGTGATGACTGTCAGCTGCCCTGTGGTGAAGTAATGGTCTCATTTATATGGATGTGGATAGTGTCATAGCATAGCTTGGCCATTGGGTGGTGCTGGACTTAGTTTTAGCTCAGTGGAGTCAAGAGCTCCTTGTTGGTGTTCTGTTCTTCTTTAAGAGACATTTAATGCCCTTGTTGATATGTCCTTTAAAGCCTTCATTGGAGAATGGCCACTCAGCTGGGTTAGGGCTATGATGGAGTCACTTTAAAAAAATCTATATATTTAGCTGAAAGGAATAAATGTTTCAGAATATGACAGTTATATTTTAATAAGGTCAAACTATCTTGGCGTTTTCTCTTGTTTATACACTCCTTTTTCACCAGCTTTCTGGAGCTTTAAACAACATGCAGAGTTTCATCCCAGGCAAATGCTGTCCAAGACATGTTGATGACTGGAAAAAAAAATCCAAATGCCTCCCTTGCAGTGCACGCCAAAAGGGCACCACCATAAAAAGCAGGCAAATGAGGAATGCAGGAGGTATAGGTGCCTGGTTTTTATTTCAAGCCAAATTATCAATATCTCGATTACCCAGCGAAAACTTAACTCCAAAAGGAGAGTTTCTGTTGCTTAATATTCAGCACAAAGCCTTTTTACTGCATACTCATTTGCCAATGAATGTTCAACAGTCCTCATGAACCTAATGTTCCTCACAGTAACTTAGAATTCATCAAGGACTTAGGCAAAATCAGCATTGCAACTTTGATTCTAAAGAAGTAAGGCATCCAGGGATCCTTTAGGAGTGCAGCGGTATAACAACTCCTATATTCCTTTTGTGACACTAGTTTTGAGATTTCATCTTCTCCAGCGTTCTTTGCTGTGTCATACAGAGGTTAAGCTGTGAATTGTTTAGGTTGCATTGCCATTGCCTAGAAAATGGGTTAAACAAGATGGTGTCTCTCTCTTTTTTTTACAGTGTAGAAAGACACCGACTGCAGTCTGACTCTATTATATTTTAATCTGCAAAAGGCAGCTAAAGGCAGTTGAATTCCTTAAGCTTAGTATTAAGAGGAGGATGGTCACTGTTTATTTGCTATTTTCTCTACCGAAGCTCTATTTCAGTATTTCTGTACGCTGTTGGCCAGTGTACAGATTACAAGGACAGAAACGAAGAGGTCATAAAAAAAACCACACAGCAAAAGATGCATTTGATTTATGTCCCAAACTGGTTCTTAGTATTGATTTTTCTTTTCTCTGAGGGGGAGAAAAAAGATCTCAACAAAACAAAGCTATACATCTCCATTATTTTCTGAGCTTGGCCCCGCAGATGTGCACAATTTTCCCAAGCCAAATTTCTCACTTTAAAAATGCACATGCAAGGAGTCAGAAAACGGAGAGGTGAAATTTGGCCAGCTAACATTTGTGTGAGATGGAAAGCCAGAATTAGCCCGGGATGCCTGGGCAAGCTCAGCTACAAGGATAATATGAGAGGGAGCTGCAAGAAGGAAGTTCATGTAGTGAGGAATTATGTTACACCCACAAGGAGGGCGAAGCAGAACAAAAGCAGGAACTAGATCAAAGGGAAGGAAAAGGTTCATAGTTTTTGCAGCTAGTGAGAAGATTAGAGAAAGAAAAATATCAACATGGGGCTGGGAAGACACTTAGTGAAAGGGGTCCGGGAGTATGAAGGAACTCAGGAATGTATATAAGGTACATCTTTCTAAGAAAAAAAAAGAGTTATGGGGCCATATCTAAATTAGATGAAAAGGAGATTCTTCTTAGTACCAGAAGTGCTGCTTAATTGCTTTTTCTTCATGGAAACCCCCTGCAAGGGCTTTCATGGCTTTTCCCTTTCCTTTAATATTTTAGTAAGTTACCAGATGTTGTTGCAAATGTGCCTTGGAAAGGCTATAGAGCACTAGGGTAGGAGAAAGTACTGGGGGAAACCCCCTATAAAGTTGATACCAGATTTATTAGGGCTATAATCAGTTAGTTGTCATGGTGTTATTCATCAAGATAGATAGTCTGTGCAGCTATTTCTGCTCAGTGCGTGAAATATCGTTTGCAACTTCAAAACCCTTGCGATAGATAAATAATGTCCGTTCTCAAAGTCCCATGAATTAAAATGGGAGTCTGCAGGTTCCATTCAGCCCATTCCTGCCTTCAGAGTATCCCTGCCTTGCAACTTGATAATTAAAATACCAAGAGCTAACCCAGCCGCCCCCCAGTCAAATCCCACTCTTCTTGCAGCTTTCTTGAGCAATTTGCCAGTGACATCTTCCCCTCCCTTTTGGCTCTCAGCTGATCAGCAACTTCCCCTAGAATTTGGGAGTGTGCATTGGTCTCTGGGAAGAGAATTTGCTGCAGTGGGATTTTTGCCAAATTCTGTTTGCCCTTAAGGGAAGATGGATAGGTAGAATATGTCCCTATATGCCTTTGAGTCTTCATTTTGTCTGTTTTTGCTTGAGTGTGTGCATCAGTTTGTTGAAAACTTAGTCTTGGGAGTTCATAAAGCAACCTGGGCCACAGTTTCCCTGCCCGTCAGGTGAAGGCAGAAATGGAAATACAGTGGTACCTCGGGTTACATACGCTTCAGGTTACAGACTCCGCTAACCCAGAAATAGTACCTTGGGTTAAGAACGTTGCTTCAGGATGAGAACAGAAATCGTGCTCCGGCGGCGCGGCGGCAGCAGGAGGCCCCATTAGCTAAAGTGGTGCTTCAGGTTAAGAACAGTTTCAGGTTAACAACGGACCTCCGGAACGAATTAAGCACTTAACCTGAGGTACCACTGTAGATGCAGATGGGTTTAGTCCAAGTGATATACACACAGGTACTGGAGTACACAAATGATTAACTGCAAATTCTGAGTTGTGTTTTTTTCAATCGGTAGGACTCTCTGGCTTGAGAGGAATGCAAGTTACTTGTTCTGTTGAGGCTGGCAGGACTCCCTTTTCTTTCCAGCCAACTCCCAGTTTTTCAGGGCAGTGTAGGTGTGGAGAACTGTCTACTCTTTCAACCAGTGGCATAATAACAAGACAGCCAATTGTTCATGAAAGAAAAGTGCCTGGATAAGTTAGAAACCCGATAATGCATTCCAGCTTTAGGTATACAACACAGCCTGCTCTGTTTGCCTGGCTGTCAAGCGTTTCACAACTTTTTCTGGGTAAACCTGAACAGCAGGAGTGAATTTGAACAGATAACATCTATTTTCAGGTACTCTTGCTTTGTGTAACTTCACCTGGTGGCATCCTGAAATCTTTCACTCTGTGTTTTTGTTTTTGTTTTTTTCAATCAGCAACATCTAATGGATCACTGGAAGGCCTGGATAACCAGGAGGGAGGGGTGTGTCAGACAAAAGCCATGAAGATCCTAATGAAAGTTGGACAAGGTAAAGACCATCTGTGTTTTTCATCAAACAACTTTGATCAGCCCCTGGGCCCCATTGAGTGTCTCAGCTTCTGCTAATAAGGTGAAACAGCATGAAACAGCGGAGTCTATATTAGTCTGCCTTTCTTTGGATTCTGAAGGCAAAGCCTATTTTCTGCACCTAAGTTACTGACAGATTTTACAGGAAGAGAGTTAATGCAATAAGATCTCTTCATTGGAGAGCTCTCCTTGGAAAGAAAGGTCACCCATGAACAACATGTGCTGCAGTTATTCTTGCTTGCGTTCTAAACATTAAAGCACAGTTTCAGAGCTCAGAATTATTTAAAACAAATGAAAAGGAAAGGGGGCTAATGCTCCCTTCATTTGCTTGTGGCAAATCCTCCCTAAAGAAGAGAGGGTTTTGTTCATTGTCCTTTGCTCATATACAGATAACCTATTGTGCAGAAAAAAACCTATTCTTTCTAATTAGAGGTTGGTTTAGTAGTCAATCAACTTGCCTGCTATGCTGAAATGTCATCTGCAAAGGTTTTCCTGCCAATTTCAGGAATCCCCTTCATTTTCTGCCACTAGCTTCACAATCTAAATCTCTGAAATAACTCTATAGCTTTTTCTCTCTTGCTTGCTTTAAAGGAGAAAATTACATTCTCATATCTTCTTGTATTCCTGCATAAAGGATCTTCTGTTCAAAGCCATTCATGCCTCGTGAAAATTGATAACCAGCTTATAAAGCACATTATTGTTAGTTTGTAGTGAATCATTTGTGTTGTTTCAGTTCCCAATTCTGGTGGGTCCCCAAATAATGCTGATCCAACTAAACGCCCGGAACAGGAAGCTGGTACCAACGGGAAAAGCTCTACAACAAGTCCCTTTGTAAAGGATCATGCAGGTAAACAGGAGAGCTTTTAGATTTTGAAGGAGGTGATTTTAAAGGCTATTTCTTATACATTTTATCTCCCATCATTAAGGGTTTATTATATAATAAGAAACAATAAAAGCAAGCATTTGCATAGGGAGAGGAAGCATGCGTACCAGTGTGTGAGAGGTCAAAGATCATTACTTCTGCAAAAGTAAGCCTCTCTTCATTTGGATTTCATAGAAATGGAATGGTTCCATCTGAAAATACTGCTGACCTCAAAAAGAAGGGGAGGGAGAGAGGGAGGAATCAAAGTAGTTATAGCAAGCTTACCAGAAGAGATGAGTTGGTGGTCATTGGTTGCAATCCAGTTCATGGTTAAGCACACTTGACTCAAGCCTAATTGAAGTCAACTAAAGGATCCTTAACTGAGCACTAGATTGTAGCCATTGTCTTCTGGCAGTATTTATGAAGAGTTTATCATTAGCACTTATCAGGCTTGCTTTAAAACATGTATAATTACTGCTGTCATCCTCTGGCAGATCACATTGGCACTCTGAATAACTCATCTAAGCAATATATAATGACTGAGCTGATTCTTGGATGAGTATAAGACGAGTATTTATCTTAAATGTCAGAATGACAAAAATAGCAGTAGCAGCCATTGAGGTGGTTCACGGGGTGAAATGTATCCAGCAGCAGCACATCTATGGAGGGGAGCAGCCTTTCTGCTCTTACTTCTCTGAAGGTGGCAGTAGAGGTACGGGTATTGCATAAACGTTGTGCAAGGGGTATGGTCATCTCGATGACATCAGCCACCCTCACTTATGGCTGGGCAAACATCTCAGACAGCCATGGGATTGCACAGTTCTGGCTGTGTCATCCCATGTCTGCCTTGCCATTGGCAGATATGGGTAGGAAGTCCCCTTGTCTGCTATTGCCATCTCTTTCGCCTCGCAAACCACCGCATGGGCCACCACTGTAAGACCAGTTTCTTCTCTTTATTTCACTTGAATGAGGAAGAATAGCGAGGGGAAGTCAGTGAGGAGAAGAATCTCAGACTAAGACCACCGCTCAGTCAGTTGAATTCAGTGCCATCGTTGATTGTTGTTTTTTTATAACTCCTTAACCTGCGCACCATTATTTGCCATCATGCCATTAAATCTTTTGCTTGTCAGTTACTTGAGCAGGCATCAGCAATTTTGTGCTAAGGGAGGATTTTTCTACCCAAATTTAGCCTCCACAGCAATATTTTCTCTTGAAAATAGGCATCAAGTTGCAAGAAAACCCATTAAAGGTTTTCTCAGCGACAAAGCACCAAATTTGATTTAATTTAAAACATGCTTGCTTTTGTGAGCTCCAGATCAGTTTGCATCCTTGTTACCGCTATTCTAGCTGCAGGTACATGGGAATCTTGTTCCCAGCAAAGCCCCCTTGCTACCAGCTATGACCAGCACTCATCCCTGCTGGCCTCTGTAGATCTAGTGGGCTAGATTGCTCCACTGGATGCTACACAGAAGGGCAGGGCAGGTGCCCATCTCTGCCCTAGCAGATCTGTATGAGCTGATTGACCCAGAATGAGGCTGGACCCTCTGAGGCATCCGTCTGAGGCTGTTCCCACCTGCCCTGTTTTAACTAAACCGTAGTTTAAAAAAAACACACAACAAAATGAAGCAATATCTATTGGGGTCTCTTAGCATTTCAACCAGCTTTCCACCTGGCAACACAGATGCATCTCCAGAGAGAGGTTAAGCGCACAATGGCAAAGTTTAGTCCAAATTAGTGTTTGAAAAAGAAAGTGGCAGGGGAACAGTGAGTCTTGAGAATTTCCTCCCCCCAGCCCCGTTTTTATCCCTATTAGCTGCTTTGAGCTGACCAACATCTGTTAAGACATGGTGTGCATCAAAGGCTGCCTTGTCAGTGCCAGTCCTTGCTGCTGATGGGTGATGATAGATGAAAAGAACACAGTGTGGTTTGGGAGCAACATAAAAGTGAGAGAAACAGACACAAGCGTCTTGCTGAATGTGAATGGCTGACTTGTGGCTGGTTGTTCCTAGATGTCTTGCGGGGTAATTGGTTTGTCAAAAGTTCAGTCAACAGTCAAGTCTTTCGGTGCTGCAAACTGGGGATGGGACAATGATCATTTTGAACTTAGATCTCTCTCGCTCTGTCTCTCCCCTCTGCCCCTTCCTTCCAACTTTATCCCTAGGTCCCAACTCAGATGGAAGCAAGGCTGGACATTCCAGTATCCTTGGTTCAGAGGTGGCCTTATTCGCAGGGATAGCTTCAGGGTCCATCATATTCCTCATCATCATCATAACTCTGGTGGTTCTATTGTTGAAGTATCGGCGGAGACACAGGAAGCATTCTCCCCAGCACACGACGACACTGTCACTTAGTACATTAGCCACCCCAAAACGCAGTGGGAACAACAATGGGTCTGAACCCAGTGACATTATCATTCCTCTGAGGACTGCAGATAGTGTCTTTTGCCCACACTATGAAAAAGTCAGCGGCGACTATGGACACCCAGTGTACATCGTTCAAGAAATGCCCCCTCAGAGCCCAGCAAACATTTATTACAAGGTCTGATGAACACTCAGCGCGGTACCTTTTTTGAAGCTCTCTCTCTCTGGTCAAAATGCTATCCGTGACGCGGGGGGTGGGGTGGGGTGGGGGGTTGTGATGAGCCCCTGCGCTGGTTACTGGACCAGGCGCAGCGGAGGGAACGGCAAGCCCCACCCTGTGACAAGAGAGCCACGTTGAGATGGACAGCTTCCCTAGTCTGTAGAATTCCTGCCTTGGTGAACAAGCATTTACTTGGAAGCTGGAAGGATTTGCATAGAAGATACCTGCCCCCATTGCTGTACGTTCATCACCTCCGAAGCCATGTGCTGCTGGCATCCAGACACGTACAAAAAGCCCAGGGAAGATGGAGCAACTCACGGATGCTAATGGTTTTTAGGCGTTTGGGGAGGGAGTCGGAAGTCATCAAGCTTGAAACGCAGCCCTGTGACTTTGTGTGTACTCTTAAGAGCTTGTGGATTTGTCATACAGACCTGCTTTTAAGTAAGACTTTTTAATCATCCTTCTTGCTTTTAGTCAGTCCCTGATGCATTCTCAGTCGGGTAGCATTCTCCACACTAGTATTCATTCGCACTCCTCAACCTACATCACTACTGGAAAGCATACAATTATTATTATTTTATTTTTGCCATTCCATACACCATCCGTTTGTGGTAGCAGCCTCACTTGAATGATTAGTGCTTTTGGGATGGGTGGGGAGGGGAGGGTAGAACCGGGCTTGCTTAATAATGGAATCTTCCGTCCTGAAGCTAGCTTGTCAGCAGAGCCAAGAATATGAGGAGGAAGGGCTGATCGACTGTTGTTGCCTCTGGAATATCAACTGGGCCAAGCCAGACAATTTAGGCAGCGCAGCACTTTTGATATCTGGAGTTCTAGGAAGCAAGTTGGAACACACAGCAACACAAACAGCTGAATGGGGTCTGCATTTGAAGGATGCCAAGGTTGTTCTCCAATAGCAATGTGCGGGAGAGAATAGTCCTCTCCCTTTAAAGTAGGACAAAGAGTGTAAGTAAATGGACGTGCCTGGGAGACAAGACAGTAGTGATATATGAGGGCAGGACTGCTGGGGTACTTACTGTGCCAGCAATAAGATGTACAGCTTTGAACTAGCTGTAGCAAAATCTCGGTCTGCTTCAAATGACATTTCTTTTTCTTTCCTTCCTTCCTTCCTTTCTTTTTTTTTTGAAAAAATAAAAAAGCAGACTCCGCTGCTATGCTTATCACATTTTAATTAATCACAGGACAGGGGAAAAATTGTTTAAGAAAACAGCAACATCTGACATAGAAAAATCACATGCTTAACAGTCAAGAGGGCTATAATTCCATCACTTTTTTTAAAAAAAGCATTCACATCTCTGAATATTAATCAGGATTTTATTTTTCCTCCAATCAAGCCTTGTTTCTGGCAGTGCATTTGCAAGGGAGCCCTGTACTCCTAACACTGCTGCTATCTGGGGTATTCTCTTTCAGAGTTAAAGCACATATGGTAAACTGCTTACAGTCCGTAAAGATGCAATACATTTAGACACACGAGAGGGAGATGTAAGGTATGACTTATTTATAGTAGGTGTATAGAACCCAAGGAATATAAAGTAGCAGATTTTGTTATGATTACTAATATATATATCTATATATATATATATCTAGAGAGAGAGAGAGAGAAAGATTGCACAGACTCTACACCAGAAGATGTGAAGTTCATCTGTGGCAATGCATTCAATCTTAAATTGTCAGTGCTAAAGCAAAATGACTGGGCAAGCCTTCTTGGGGGAGGGGGGGGGGCGGAAATAGCTTCACTCCAAAAAAGAACAATACTGAGAAAATAACAAAAGCCCTCTAAGCTGTCTTGCATAACTCGTAGACTAGGAGAGACAAGCCCCAAAATACCACAGAATTGGCGTAACTGCATCATGTATTTAACAACCGGATGTTCTGATGTGGGTTTTCTTTTTCTTTCTTTTTTCTGTGTTATGTCCCTGTTTTGTTCCCGCCCCTTTGCCTTACAAGATGGAGTCCATTCAGCTGGTCACAAAATACGGAGAGTTTTAGTTTAGAGTTTCTGCTTGAAGCATGGTTGCTTGTCCTCCTTCCCACCTCTTATACCCTGGGGGAGGGTGGAGGAGATCTACTTTTTTATGTGCTATGCAAAATAGATGTCTTTTCACATAGTCCTGTTACCATAGCAACGATTCACTTTCTGGACTGGAAAGAACATGTAACTACAGCATTTTAAGGTTCTCAAACCTCCACTGAGCACGTGCAAAAAAAAAAAAAAAAGTACTGTCATAGAAATGATTACTCTCTGTATTTCCTGAACCTGAAAATGATGTTGGTCCAAGGAGAAGCAAAGAGGAAGGGAGGGTGGAAGAGAATCATGGTTCTGTGGGAGGTTACCATGGTAACCAGCTACAATACAGATGTAGTTCTTTCCTAAAGCCTTCCTTTCTGTGAATCCATCCATGAAAGATTTTTTCTTGTAAGTCATTAAGATTTGATTTGGGGAGGGGGGAGGAGAGTTAATAGATGGGCCTGGTTTTTTTGTTTTTGTTTTAATTGAGAGTATGTTTAGTTGGTTACATTCTGATCATGTACTAAACTTTGCGAGGGGGAAATATTGGATGAATCAGTGGAGAAGGAGAAGGAGAAGAAGAAGCAACAACCTGCAACCAGTTTTAGGGGGGTGAGGAACAAAGAAAAGAAGAGCCCTGTGTATCTGTGTTGTGTCTTGTGCAGAATAATGACAATCTTACCAACTGTTCCTTTTAGTTGGTGTTTGGTTCAGCTTTGAAAAGTTACTGTAAATGCCTTGCTTGTGTTACCCCTTGAATCACCTAACTTTTTGAAATTTACACCATCATGTCTAAAGAGTGAAGATGCTGTAAATAAGTTCAAGATTTACTGTATATGGATTTGGGGTGTTACAGTAGCCTTATTCACCTTTTTAAATAAATATAAAATAAAAATACACATGGAAACGAGAATAAACATCTTTTCTTAACCAGATTGTGTATATAGAGCAACATTGGTTTTTTAATAAAGTCTAAGCGAGATGTTTTGTATAAAATCTGACTTTTGCTATGTATTTAGCTACAGCTTGTTTAAAGGCCGTATCATTCCCCCTTTGCACAGTATCCAGGAAAAAAAAAAGATAAGGTATAAAAAAGGTTGCCAAATTGCTGCATATTTGTGCTGTAATTGTGTACCATGAATATTTATTTAAGAATTCCTTTGTCCAGTTTGTAAGTAACACAGTATTATGCTTGAGTTATAAATAATTTTTTTCTCTCTTTTTTTAAAAAACCTAGAGTGTCATAGATTTGAAATCTGCTTTTGTTCTACATTGCAGTTAGCCCCTTCCAGAAAATGAAATCTATGAAAATTCACATTCCACATCTGTTTCAAACTGAATTTGTTCTTTAAAAAATAAAATATTTTTTTCCTATGGAAACAATGCCTTCTACGGATCTTATTTGGTCCCCCCCCCCCTTTTCACCCACTTCAGTTTGGGCCATATCCACTGGGGAGTTTGGAGACACCCAGTTCCACACCCCAGCCAGGATGAAGGAACCTTTACCAGCAAGAGTGTTACATTCCATTGTTATCAAATTTCCGAGTTCTGCATGGAAGCCTGGCCTGGCCTGTGGGTGTCCTGAGCAGGGCGATGGATTTTATATTCCTTTTTGTACAGTACACTGCATTCTAGCTGTGCAAAAGTCAAATGCTACTCCCAACCAAGCCACAAGTTTTATCATAGTTCAGGGACACATTCCAGCCAGGCAAGAGCAGTCAAGGTTGATACAGAGCAGGGCCAATGAGAACTCTGTATAGAGAGATGTAGGATGTGCATGGGCTGGAAAATGAGGCTCAAAAGAGCTATATTTGGCTCCATGACCTGAGATTCCCTGCTGATGTACTTGGCTGATGGTTACTTATGGCATGAACCACACATCCTATTGATTCCATCATTGTAATCAAGTTTGCAACATCTCTCATGGTGGCAACCACCTTACGATGGCATGCCTTTTAAGCCACATTTATAAAGCCAGCAGTCTTGCACCATGTAGGTGCTTTGGTTATTCCTTTAGAAGTATATCAATAAGAACACATTTTTAAAATCTGAAACCATAGGAATGAACTCCTTGTTTTCCTTTTTTTATTTATTCTCACTGATCTGGATCTAGTGTGTGCACAAAGCAACCCAGAGGGCACAGTCTTACACTTTGGAGATATGCTGCTCTTTCTGTTGGTAGACGTTTTCATAGCTGGCGTTTACCAGTGCTCTCAGCTGCCAGTCCACTTGTGTGCGATAGTCATACAAGTAGATCTCAAGGAATCCTTGACTTCTCTGTTGTGCAGCTTGACAAAGAATCTTGACTCCAAGTTCAACCACTTCATCCTGTATTGATTCACCAATGATTATCTTCTCATTCTTGGGAATAATGAGAATATTATTAGAATTTTGTAGCAACCATTCTAGAAATCTTTAGATTTGTTATTGCAGCCTATTCAGAAGTTGGTCCCATTGACCCTTGCCTCTAGGTTGGCTGGTTTCTAGCCACAAAGGAGCAGACAATGGTACTTGAAGAAAATGTGGTGGGCAGTATCTTCTGCTTGATTGATGCTTAATACTTTCCCCTGTTAATGAATGGTGTCCAGATTTGTCCCACTAAACACTTATGGAGTAGAATGTATCTAACGCAGACTTAGTCCTAATTTCAGCCACCGCTGAAGGCTCAGTCCAAACAGAACTTAAGTAAGTTCATACTTGAGGAAATTGGTGATGTCTCATTTTCTTTGAATCCCAAGCACAGAATGGAAGCACCCACATGAATTCAGCTGATTGCTTTTTGGAGATAAATGAACATTTTCATTTCATTATGATACCTCAGACACACCGAAGCTATCCAGCATCATATAAATCTCTGGCAATCATCACACAGAGAGTTTGATTTGGGTGGAATCAGCCTATGCTAATTCCATGCTAATACCTATAATTCCATTTATATGTATTTTCACCGTCCACTTAGGCACTTGTTTGCCTCTGTAGCATTTGCATATCCTGCATATTTTAGCTTCTGCTACACACTGCACTGTTTAAAACTCATTAAGTCTATGATTGAAATGGAATTTGAATCCTGATCTCCCAATGCCTCAGGGTATGGCTGTTCACTAGACTACATGGGCCTTGCAGTATGTTCAAGTCCCTTGTATTTTCATGTACATCCTGTGTGATTTCAAAGATCACACAATCCTTTCATTCAGCAAAACATGCTTAGAGATGTGAAAGTTTTCAGCATGGAGCTGGTTGAACTGTATCAGGGAATGTGGCTTAAATCATGCATTTGCGGACATGACATGATTATTGGCTAGAATAATGAGAATCTGAGCCCACTGATAAGATGGCTACAATATTGTTTGGACTCTGGACTGAGAAACTCAACAGGACTGTAATTCAGTGGTAAACCACATACTTTGCATGTAGAGGTCATTAGTTCAATGGCATCTCCGGGTAGGGTTGAGAAAGAAAGACCTGGATAACCACAGCCAGTCTTTGGGGGCAGCCCTCAGCTACACTGACTTTGTAGAATCATAGTTCGAAGAGACCGCGAGGGTCATCTCGTCCAACCAATGCAGGAATCCTTTTGCCCAATGTGGGGCTTGAACTCGCAACCTTAAGATTAAGAGTCTCATGCTCTGCCAACTGGGCTACCCCACAGTCTCCCCATATTCCCAAGCCAAGTATTCTCAAGTCACTGCAACCAGCACTCTGCAGAAGCTATTCACCTTTCAGAAAACATACCCAGCATAAAGCTGGCTGACTTACAACCCATGTTTTATAACTTGAAGGGAAAGATGTACTTGCATTTTAAACTGCTGCTGACATGGCACTATTAATTATCAAATGAGAACAAAAGCAGAATTTACTACCTCATTATGAAGCTTGTTTCTCTAGCATGAGCCTGGGCTGAATCAATAGGCTCTAAGTGGAAAATAAAATGATAATGCACAGTTGTGATCTACCCTGAAAGGAGCAAGAATCTATTAAAGGAAGGAACAAGCAGCTCACAGATTGTGCAGAAGATGTGCAACCTGGTATGTTAAAAAGAAAATTAAGGGAAACATGGTGTTGCCTCAATATAAATGATTTTCCCCCTCCCCCCAGTGAGACCCTGACTGCCTGGTTGCTATAGCTCTTGAACCTTTCTTTCTATGCTGTAGTGTTTTTTGGTGGAAAGGCTTATCGATTTGGGGCCTAGCCATGGAACGTGTACTAAAGAAGACCGAGAACCATAACTTAAATAGAGACATATCTCCTTAGCCAAATGACATATGACTGGCGAACAATGAATCGAGAGGTCTGCACTAATAAAGTCAAACAGTGCATCCATCTGGGATTCTCTTTGTTTTCCAACATACACCAATGACATTTTTATTGCTTCAGTCCAAGGCACAAGCTAGCATAAGCAACGCGCACCGTGTGAGATGGACTAACAAACCAAAGCTGCGGGGGCTGGTGTGACTGGGGTTCTTGGTTGTCTCTGACCCAAAGCACAGCATATGAAACTGAGTACACTCCTGTAAGCACAGAGGGGAAGACTTAAAACTATTTCTCATGAACTGGATATTGCTAGTTTAACTTTGGACCTAGGAAAGACATTAGTAACTCTAGTGGTTCCTGACCTAGGGATCTAGCCTCTTGTCATTCAAGCCCTAAGAGCCTCTGAGCTTGATTACAACAATGTGCCTTGTGTTGGGCCAGTGCCGGATTTATGTATAAGCTAAACAAGCTATAGCTTAGGGCCCTGCTCTCTTGGGCCTCCCCAAAAAATTTAAAGGGGAAAAAAACCCTGGATGTACATTTCCAAAATATAAGATAAAAAAAACAAAATGGCTTTAGATACCTATTAGGTCCATAAATTACCATATAGCATATATTCAACATAAAAAACAGTGACAATTTGTTGTTGACAAAGGACAGCTGGACATATAAAGGGCCCCATTGTCTTCACTAGCTTAGGGCCTCATCAAACCTAAATCCGGCCCTGTGCAGGACTACCCTTGAGAGCTGTTCAAACACTTTGGCTGGCAATGTTGTGTTTTACTGGAGGAAGCTGCAGGGAGCATTCAGTTTCACTAGTGCTGACCTAAAGTCTTCAGTAGTGTCTGAACCCCAGTTATATTCTCTTCCTCCCTGCCCCAAATTTCTCTTTGTGGTGGTGCCTTTCTAATAGACCTCCTGGGAAGGCTCAAGTTCTTGGAGGACTTTTAGAAGACTGGTGAAAAACCTGCTGTTCCATGAGGTCTTTGGGATTGCAGACTGAGCTAAATATACAATGTCCTGCTGCTGACTTTCTGTGTTGTTTTTATCGCATTTCACACCATCATGTTTTTTTTTTAAATAAAAATTAAGGGTGATAATGACAGTCACCTTCATCATTTGCCAACTTGTTTCTGGGCTCAGTTCAAGGTTCTGGCTTTGACTTTTAAAATGCTAAATCAGGAGCTACTTCTGAGGCCCTTCTCTCTATGTCTCTGGTGACAGGTGTATGGTAGCTGAGTATGAGAAACAAAGGCTTTTCGGTAGTCACAACCTCCTCTCAGACTCCATCAGTTTCCTTCTTTTCTTGAAACACTCTCCTGCCTTTTCACCACCCAAACCCTCAGCTTTCTTCTTTTGGGATAGAAGACTCCGACAATCACATGGGACATGACTTGTGAAACATATTCTATTGTGAAGGGTTATTATGAACTTGCGTTCAAACCTTTCTTAATTTGTGGAGTTCTCTGTGAACAGAATTTGTAAGTGCCAATATCTCCTGCTGTTTATAATGCTTGTTAGATGGTTTCCTAAATATTTGGTTGTATAGGCTGAAATTTGGCTATCTTTCCAGCAGTGATTTTTTAGCTTGCATATTTTCTACTTAAGCAGATTGTGAATAAAGATGGCATTTTATTTTTAGTATTTCCCTGAGGAAGAACAAGTAGCTCAAAACTTCTATATATTGGGCATCTTATAATAAATATCTCTGCATGTTGTACAACCGTGGGTATTTATATTCTTCTTTCTCCCCTTGTGCATCAAAAGAAATCTGCACTTTAAAAAGATTGATTGGGATATGTTTCCCAAACAGCTTTCAAGTCTTAACATTTTGCAGAGATCTAGATAGAGATTGAGATATAGATCAGATTGGATCATCCTGCAAAGCGTACGGAGAATTTTTACTGCACTACAGCTACCTGATAAGAAATCTGAAGAAGCAACAGTAAGAATCTCTTATCTCCTAACAGAAGGCTACAGACTGCTTGCCAAATTATTACACACACACACACTGCTTTGTTTCCATGTAGGGTTCATCCAGACTTTCACTTGTCCCACCGCTTTCCCTAGGGAAAATCCGATCTTTACCTCAACATGGGCGTAGCCAGGATTTATGTTGGGGGGGGGGCGGCAGCAGGACGCCCACCTGTCATCATCATCTGTCTGGCGCTGTCCATCGCTCAGTCAGGTCGCCAGTCGCTTCACTAGAATGCGCCACAACATCACCTAAGTGCAGGAAGCTCCTGCAGCCAATCATAAGCCATGCCTTGGTTTTTGAATGTTTTTGGGAGTCAAACGAACTCCCAGAACGGATTCAGTTCAAAAACCAAGGCACCACTGTATAAAACTGCACTGAAGAGCAGTGAGGAGTTTTATTTGCAACATCATGAAATGGCAGCCGAATCAGCCCTGTGCGCAGCCAAGATTTCTTCTGGAAATGTGTAGAGACTTTTTGTTTTAGCTCTAGAGCTTTAACCTGGAAAAGAAAGATTCCTTTGGGCTGAATGCACTGAAGGTGCTTTAAAACTAGGCTTAAAGTTCAAATAAAGTTTAATCTTGATTCACCCTGGACAGATCTACGCCATGAAAACACATTTATTCCTGCATTGCACGGTTTGGAACTAGATGACCCTTTACAACTTTACAATTCTATGACTTCCCACAAAGAATCCTGGGAACTGGGGTTTGTTGAAGATGCTGGGAACAGTTGCTCTATGAGTTCCCAGGGTTCTTTGGGGGAAGTCATGTGCTTTAAACGATTGGTGTGGATCTGCACGGCAACTTTGGTAGAAATCAAAAAGTGAGCACAGATGAGACTAGAACCTGTGGGGCTCTTAGTGTGTTGGGCATTTGTCAGGTAGGCACCAGCAATGGGATTTTTTTTTGTAACAGTGCGCCACGTTAACAATAAAATCCAAGCGTGCTTCTACAGAACGCCAGCCAGTTCAGTTTGTGTTATTACGTGACTACATTTATACCAACGCACTGTCTGTTCTTTCAACTTAAATGCCTCTCCCCTTTCTCCCCATGTTGTCATCCTGCTTTACAGCAGTAGGTTATTTTATTTAGTCAATCCCCCCTTAGTGTAAATATTTTTAGGATAAAGCAGCAAGGGGCCTGTATGCCAAAAATGTACTAACACAAGCATTTTTATCCATTTCTCCATTGCATCTGGTAGAAACATGATGTTTATGCCATGTTCCTTCAACACAGAGACAAAACATAAAATTTAAAAGGTGGCTTAAATTCAGCCGTTCCACTTTGCAGCCTTGGAAGGTCTTATATGCCTGTGGTGTTCTCACGATATGCTTGCAATTTTCAGCGACAAAAATTTGAAATCAGGCACGTTTTGAATATTTATACCTCTTAAAGTTTTGCTAAATTCCATCCTCCAGTATCTTAAAAAGTGTTCTTCCCTTGCAAAAGGAGTTTCTGTTTTTTCTGCCTTATTCTTGTCATGACAAGGTGGCTGTTATATTTTCCTGCAAAAAATTATCTAGCACTCTGAAAACAGTGCTAGTGCTGAACTGTGGACCTAGCAGTCTTTCAAATGACCACACAGAGAGTAGGAAACAGCTGAGGCATAGAGTCAAACAGGCCCAAGTGAGCACCAGGATTGGCATACGTGTCAGGGCTCACAATGGAACATCCTTCATTCTTCTTATATCTTTTTAAAAAATCATAGTCAGGGGGCACCTGGGCATATACTGCTGTCCAAGTGGCAGCGTCATGGGCGTTACATTCCTCACTCTCAGTATGGCGTCCTTTCTCAGAGTGAGAGATTGTGAGCAAGCATGGGACGCGGGTGGCGCTGTGGGTTAAACCATAGAGCCTAGGACTTGCCAATCAGAAGGTCGGCGGTTTGAATCCCCATGACAGGGTGAGCTCCCGTTGCTCAGTCCCTGCTCCTGCCAACCTAGCAGTTTGAAAGCACATCAAAGGGCAAGTAGATAAATAGGTACCACTCCGGTGGGAAGGTAAACGGTGTTTCCGTGCGCTGCTCTGGTTCACCAGAAGCGGCTTAGTCATGATGGCCACATGACCCGGAAGCTGTACGCTGGCTCCCTTGGCCAATAAAGCAAGATGAGCACCGCAACCCCAGAGTCGGTCACGACTGGACCTAATGGTCAGGGGTCCCTTTACCTTTATTGTTTTATTTTACTATCTGCCGAAATATTCATAGGCCACACTTTCAAAAGAACACTGCAAGATGAAATAACAGCCTACCAAATTACAATAAGGTCAATAAAACTATCAGGGCAAATGCCAGTAAATACTGGTTGGTAAAAAGAAATATGTGCAATGCTGTCAAATTTACAATACACTTTAAACATCAAAAGAAACGCACATGGGGCCATTTCCCTGTTTCAGAATGAATCATTTTCAGATAGGTTAGATGCTATAAGCGAAGTTGTTGGAAATGGAGACTCCTTGTTTTCAACAAGGAAAAAAACAACCCCACAGAGGTATAATGCTCAAAGCAAAACTAATGTGACATTATCTGGACACTTTTAATTACTGTTTTGCTTTTGCATTTTTCTACTGGAAAGAACCAGTTTGGCTAGATTAGCAAGTAGGGTAGCTCTCTAGCAATTAGCACAAGTTTCAGAAAAGCCTCCATGTGATACAGCGCTCAGTGGAGGGGAAAATAGTACTGTAGGAATTGAGAAGTGGTTTTGCTCTGGGAAAAGCATTCTTTGGAAAAGATACCCTAGCAACTATAAGAAACAAGAAGCAGTTTTGCTCTGTGGTAATCAAATATGTTTTGTGGGAAAAGTACCTTAGTACTGTAGGAATTGAGAAGTGGTTTTGCTCTGGGAAATTATTCTGCGGGAAAAGTACCCTAGCAATATAAGAAATGAGAAGTAGTTTTGCTTTGAGGAAATTCAACATGTTTTGCGGGGAAAGTACCTTAGTACTGTAGGAACTGAGAAGTGGTTGTGCTCTGTGAAAATGAAATGTATTCTGCTGAAGTCTCAGCAGATTTAAAGAAACTTCCCTTCAGTTCTAATGATTGTCAGCTAGATAAGGAGGCAGAGGTGGAATGTTCTCCCATCATCTGTGGACTTAAGAAGATCAGGGGACAAAGTTTTTCATGCTAGCCTTGCACCTCCATTCAATCCCACTAGTCATAATGGAGCAGTAGTTTGTACCTTCTTGCTTGTGGGTAAGCACTCTCCTCCTCTGCAATAACCATTTCTGTTCTTCTAAAAAGCCATTTCTTTTATTTCAATTCAAAACAAAACACCCTGTGCTTTAAACTCAAAGCGTTAGAAAACTTAACGCAAACTGTCAGAAACTTTGAAAAACCTCATGGCAAAAATCAATAAATGCCTTTGAATGTTTTATGCCCTGTGCGCTTCTTGTTTTTGTTTTTTGTTTACAGGAAGAAAAGTGTAAATTGCAAGTGGCTGAAACTTGAGGATGCTGTTTGTTACTGTGCAGGCGACAACATCCTCGAACTGCCTGGATCTTTATCTCTCCTATTTCATGGGCCAAGATTGATAGGTGGGCAGGGCTGCCAATCAGGTCACCCACTTTTGGCTGTGTGGTTTGAAACCAATCTCCTCAGACAAAGGAAGGAGTCTTGCAAATGAATGAATGAATGAAACTTTATTTGCGGCAGCCATCGGCCATAGCAACAAAAGAACATTGCGATGTACACAGAAGAAAATAAAAAGTCGATTATATAAAACACAGCTTAGGGTCCTGAATCAGCAATCAAATAGTGGACCTTATTCTAATTGCCCCAGCTAGAAACCTTGCAACCTTTGCAGTCATCTTCTCCTCTTGATCTGCCAGGAAAAAAGACACAGTGGCAGTGGTTGGGCTACCCGGAATAGACAATAAAAGAGGGGTGATAATCTCATTCCTCAGGTCTTTGTAAAGAGTGCAGACCAGGAGGACATGCACCACTGATTCGGTGTTGCCATCTCCGCAGGGACATAAACATTTTTTGTGTGGAATCTGTTGGAATTGTCCCTCAAGTACAGCCGAGGGCAGTACATTCAGTCTTGTGAGGGTAAAGGCACATCTATACAGTGGTACCTTGAGTTACAAATGCCTCAGGTTAAAAACGCTTCAGGTTACAAACTCAGCTAACCTGGAAGAGTTACCTTGAGTTGAGAACTTTGCCCCAGGATGAGAACGGAAATCATGTGCCGGCGGCTCAGCGGCAGCAAGAGGCCCCATTAGCGAAAGCACGCCTCTAGTTGAGAACAGTTTCAGGTTAAGAACGGACCTCCGGAATGAATTAAGTTCGTAACTAGAGGTACCACTATAGTTTGGAATTGCTAGATTATACAGATAGGGTGCCAGAGAATTAAAGTGGGAGGGTGGAAAATGGGCAAAATTTCCTTATTGTGGCCATGTTGTTTTGATGCTTGATATCATTTAGGTGTTGGCAAATTAGACTGTTTCCTTTACTATAACCCACGGTGAGTAGCTGTTGTGGGGATAAACCACAAGAGTGAAGTTTTTGATTGACAATTTTAAGGGGTCTTGCAAACCTGACATTGATTGCCAGAGCTTGCAAAGCCCTGTTCATCAGGCCTGGTCGGGGGTCTGCAATCCTCTTTTTGGTCCAGTCGTGCCTTAACATGTCCCACACCTGGGCATGGCTTTCCTGGTAGGCTTAAAGAGACCTCCAAGAGTGGGGTTTTCCAAGGAAGCTGGGGGAAAGGGTTGCCTTGGAAGGAGAGTAGGAGGAAAAAGGCACCTTCTGGGCAGGCGGAATGGACAGAGACTAGAACTGCAATGGTGAAGGCTGTTGGTTTGAATGAACCCATCAAACTGTACACCTCTCGTTAGAATTCAGGACTCAACTTTCCTCACAGTTGTGTCACAGATGTGTGTATATTGCTGTGCGTGTTTTATTCCCACAAAGTGAACTGAACACCATAAAGGAACTTGGAAAAGGAAGGATTTATTCTGGAGCTCTCTGAAGGCACGAGATGGCAGCTATGGCCCATTAGAAAGCTGAAGGATCTGGCTGGAACCAATTAATAAGTTATAACAGGACAAAGGCATTGCAGGACTAAGCGGGGCTTTGGTCATGGGTTAGGTATCCAGCACTGAGGTGCTTTGCCTGGATGTCAGTCGACTTAGATGATTTAAGGCTTCCTGCAAGAAGGACAATTGTGGTTTATAAAGGCCACCCGGCTGCAAGGAGGGAAGCGGCACGTGATTAATGGCTCTGCCACCAGGGAGACAGAGGGTGGCACAATAAAAAGTATCGCCTTACCCACTTGCATCTCTCACATGAGGGGGACAGGAATTGTTCTCAGCGAGGACTTTGAGGAATACTCCTCAGATGCCAGAAATGATAGCAGCAGTCTTGCACAAACCGCTTCTGCAGTCTCAAGGCTGTTGTTTTCCTTTCGCCTTGTCTGACACCTATGCAAAGGAGTGAAGCAATGACCCACAGTAATACAGCTGGGCCTTGCAAGGCATTTCCCACACCCTGTTTTCGGGGGTGCCTGCTTGTTTATCGGCCCTGCTAATCTGCCTCCAGCTGCAGCCTGAACACACACACACACACACACACACACACACACACACAAAGGTGGCTGAAGTTTTTCCTGGCTTGCAGATAAAGTGATGCAAGGAGCTTCATCCGGCTACTGTTAAAAGTGTCAGGCCAACTAAAAAAAAATATTGACAGCCATGCCCTGCTTATGAGTGTCTCATGGTCCCTACACATATTCTGAGACGAGGAAAATCGGGGTGGAGAGGGAGGACTCTCTTTCCTCCTCTGAATAATATCCATATTAAGTAATCAGGTAGATAAGTCCACTTCCAAGTCTGTCTGCGCCACAATACTTGTGTAGGTATATATTTTGCTGTCCTAGACAGGCCTAGACACCTATTTTTCCCACCCAATCTGTGCACAGCTTGCATTCTAATTCAAGCTGACATTTTCTAACACATTCCAGTATTTCACTTAGAAGAATCATAAAGTGTCAAGCATACCATCTTCTGCGTATTTTTTCCTCTTATCCCCACAGGCATTCATTCATGCTTCTAAACAGTCCCACTCCATGCACTTAGAGGAGTGGGGGGCAGGCGGGGGGATAGCACAAATCAAAAGCTGCCTTGGTTTTCTTTTCCTTCATATTTTAATCTCCAGCAAATGAATTCTTGGACACTTTCCCTCCTCTCTTCCATTAACCGAGGTGACAATTTTCGGTTGTTCAAATCAATGTTAACAATTTTATTAAAGACGAGGACATGACAGATTCTTGACAAATGATAGACTTCTCTAGGTTTAAAGCAAACCTGAATGCAAAAATGTGGCGTGTGTGTGTATGCGTGATATAGATGCTAAGACAATACACGGCTATGTGGGTTTTTTTTTAAATAAAAAAATGCAATAGTTGGGGGACTGAATGAATTAACTGATTGATATTTATACACCGGTCTTTTTCCAGCTGCTGATATATGTATGGGCTTCTAGGTGATCTCGCATCTAAACACAGCTCAGAGCCTATGGTTTTGAAATCAGAAGCTGAACTCTCTCACCTGCCTTTGGCCCATTCACAGCGCCATGGAACAAACCAAAGAACATAAGAAGTGTCTGATGGATCAGGCCAATGGCCCACCTTGTCCAACATCCTGTCCTCACAGTGGTCAACCAGGTGCCCATGGGAAGCCTGTGAGCCAGACATGAGCACAAGACACATCCCCACCAAGTCTCCCTATTTCCCAGGGACAGTCTTGGAATTACAAAAGCCATCCCAGCTTCTGATTCGATCCCAGAATGTCCCTGTTTCCTCTGCCGGTGCCACCACCGCTGAGCTCGGGGAGGAGGATGTGCTGGCACTTGTTCTGAGTGATGGTGGCAGCAGTGGTGGCTGTGAGGAGCATCCTGTTGCCTCTCCATGGCTGCCGTAGCCGGCTTCCTTCCTTGGGCAGCTTGTAGTGTCTGCTGGAGAAGTGGGGACGCCCCATTCCATAATGACAATGTTATTATTTATACCCCACACATCTTATTGGGCTGCCCCAGCACTCAGGGCAGCTTCCAACATATCTTAAAAAGATAGTAAAACATTGAATATTTTTTAAAAAACCACCCTCCCTATACAGTACCTCTGGTTTAGAACTTAATTCGTTCTGGAGGTCCGTTCTTAACCTGAAACTGTTCTTAACCTGAGGTACCACTTTAGCTAATGGGGCCTCCTGCTGCTGCTGTGCCGTCGTCGTGCGATTTCTGTTCTCATCCTGAAGCAAAGTTCTTAACCCGAGGTACTATTTCTGGGTTAGTGGAGTCTGTAACCTGAAGCGTCTGTAACCTGAAGCGTATGTAACCCGAGGTACCACTATATAGGATTGCCTTCAGATGGCTCAGGGGTTGGATAACTCCATACCCACCAACATTTCTTCTATGAAAATAGGGACATTCTGAGATCAAAGGAAAAGCGGGACATTCTGAGATCAAATCAGAAACTGGGACGGCTTCTCTCAATCAGGGATGTCCCTGGAAAATAGGGACACTTGGAGGGTCTGAGACAATGACCTGGGTTTGAGTCTCCACTCAGGAACGAAGCTCACCGGGTGACCTTGGGCCAGTCACCATCTCTTAACCTAAGCTACTTCACCGGTAGGTTGTTGTGAGCATGAAATGGGGAGGAGAAGAACCATGTTCACCACCTTGAGATCCTTGGAATATAAAAGTGGTATATAAATATCAGAAATAATAAATAATAAATGGAAGAATATTCTTTTGCTGACATGGTGCCCTCCAGGTGTATTGAACCACAACTTGCAGCGAGCCCAATTGTGTTGGATGGATCTGATGGGGATTGTAGTCCAAAAAATCTGGAGGGCACCAGGTTGGCAAAGGCCACTCTGTTGACATACAGGTAAAAAATGGAGATAGCTCATTCGGTAGAGCATGAGACTCTTAATCTCCAGCTCATGGGTTCGAGTCCCAGGTTGGGCAAAAGATTCCTGCATTGCATTGGGTTGGACTAGATGACCCTCGTGGTCCCTTCCAGCGCCACAATTCTGTGATTCTAGTCTATGACATGTGGTAAAAAGAAGCAATGAAGGGGGAGGGTGGACGATGCTTGAAGCCACCATTCCAACAAGAGATAAGTCTGATAACTGTTGCACTAATTTAGCTTGCATTATATTTCCCGCCGTACAATAGCATAATGAGATCAATTTACGGCTGAGTACAGATGCTATTAACAGGGTGCTTCAGTTTATTCTGTCTTAGGGCAAGGAAAGTGGACTAGAACGATGAAGCACTAATGATGATATCCAGTTCACCCATTCCATAACCGAAGCGACCAGCTTCTTTCTTTCATCTTTCCAGCTCTGAGAAGATAACGTCTGATTTCTCCAGGCTCCCTCAGTGGCACCTTTCAGCGCAGAAATTCTTCGGCCTGACAACTCAGAGACGTGAGATATAGGGTTATCCCCTGTGATGGCCTTAACATGGGACAGTTTCATCAACTGATAAAGGAATTTGATCTGTCAAGAGCTGCAGAGTGACTTTGCTACTGTGCGGAGTTAAGAAGCAGCAACCAGGGGATGAACAAGACAACATGCTCTCGAAAGCTGGTGTGCCTCTCTAAGGTTCAAGGACGGTTGCCGATGCTTCCTTTTGTTTTACTGGAATGACTGCAGTACCTTAAACAGCTCTTGGAGAACAAGCATTTGACAAGAGAAGCACTTCCTGGCATTGAGATGAGATGATGGGGGGGGGGGGGGACTTTGCTTGTTAATGCAGACAGTATGCCAGGAAAAAGTTGGCTGAAGAGAAATATTTTTTTTTAGAAACAAACAGTGAGTTGGTTGGATGCAAATTTATAGAACAATCCTAAGTAAAGGAAATCAGCAAAATTTACACCAACAGCTCAGGACCACAATACCTCAAGGCCTGCCTCTCCCCTTATAGACTGACCCGGACTCTGTGTTCATCGTCTGAGGCCCTTCTTTTCATGCCTCTTCCACAAGAGGTCCAGATGGTGGCAACACGAGAACGGGGTCTTTCCTGCAGTGGCCCTGGTTTGTGGAATGCTCTCCCCAGGGAGGTTTGCCTGGTGCCTTCATTATCTATTTTTAGGCGCCAGACAAAAATGTTCCTCTTCAACCAGGCCTTGGGATGATTAATATTCTGCAGCCTTTTAAATGTGCCTGTGGAAAGAGGCGTGTGTGTGTGATTCTTTTGCTGTGTTGTTGGTTTTAATTCTTTGCTTCTTTTTATCCTGTACAGTGGTAAAGTAAAGGTAAAGGTACCCCTGACCATTAGGTCCAGTCGTGACCGACTCTGGGGTTGTGTGCTCATCTCGCTCTATAGGCCAAGGGAGCCAGCGTTTGTCCGCAGACAGCTTCCATGTCATGTGGCCAGCATGACTAAGCCGCTTCTGGCGAACCAGAGAAGTGCACGGAAACTCCGTTTACCTTCCCGCCAGAGCGTTCCCTATTTATCTACTTGCACTTGGACGTGCTTTCGAACTGCTAGGTTGGCAGGAGCAGGGACCGAGCAACGGGAGCTCACCCCGTCACGGGGATTCGAACCACCGACCTTCTGATCGGCAAGTCCTAGGCTCTGTGGTTTAACCCACAGTGCTCGGGTTAAGTACTTAATTCGTTCCGGAGGTCTGTACTTAACCTGAAACTGTTCTTAACCTGAAGCACCACTTTAGCTAATGGGGCCTCCTGCTGCTGCTGCACCGCGGGAGCAGGATTTCTGTTCTTATCCAAAAGCAAAGTTCAAAAAGCCGTTCAAGTCGCAAGGTGTTCGGGATCCAAGGGACGACTGTATATTAATTGTGGTCTTGTCATTCTCAGGATCTAACTACACATTTTATGCTAATGTCTTTTACTGAGTTCCAGTGCCATTTAAAATGGGGAAACACCAGGGGAAGGAGGAAGCACTTAAGCTTGCCTCTTCCCATTTTCTTGCTATCTTTTTTTATTCACAAGATGAATTCAAAATAGATACACATCTATTTTATTTTAAACAGTACTCACAATCTCCCATGTGCTTTCAAATCTCTCTCTCTCTCTCTCTCTCTCTCTCTCTCTCTCTCTCTCTATTGAATCAAAATACAGAATGCCTTCATTTAAAAGAATAAGCTTGTACAATTTGGCATTAATTGTTAAAAACTAAGTCGAAACCTATCCAGTCCATTCCTTTTCAACACTCCTTGTCCCTTGAGGCAAAATTATTAGATGGTCTGTTGTACTGAACTGTTTCTTTCTCCTTTTTTTTTTTTTTTAAAAAAAGAAAGTCTGCTGTTCTTGTTTGTTTTAACAAGATGCCTAGGATAAATGCAGTCTCTCTCCCCCTCCACATATTTGGCTGTTCATCTGCCTCTGACTTAACTCCCAGAGTGCTCACGCCAGTTTATACATAGGCCAGTTGTGCAAGGTAAAGCACTAATTGCGTGAGGTCATTGCTGCCTAAGGTTATCAGTTGATTTGAAAGAATGGCTGGCCTTTTTTTTTTAAACAGACAAAATTATCAGTTAAAGCTTCCATCTCCTCAGAGGATTAGAATATGAGCATTTTGGCTCATCCGATCGAGGGCGAGGGCAAGAAATATCAGCCGGTTGAATTGCTGGGGCTTAACAGCCTGCCAAGGGCCAATGCAATGTTTAGACTCCAGTATATCCATGTCAGATTCAATTCAGATAATCACAGGTCACTTTAACCCCTATAATTTATCTCCTGCAAAGCTGCACATGCACAAGACCTTACTCAAGAAGTTAAAATGGAGGAAGAAAGGAGGAGGGGCACAGAGGTTCCTGGATTGCTTCATAATTGCGACGCCTTGTTTGACTTCTGAAAGGAGCGTTTACAAAAGAGCGCTCAAAGGGGAAGCCCCAAGGTAGCCTAACCCCATGTGGTGGAGGTGTCAGGCAGTCAGAAGGCCAGGGCAGAGAGGTTAGAAGAGATAATGGAATCGAACACACACACAAAAGAGAGAGGGGGGGAAACACCACATAGATGCCGCATGACTCACTAAAGGGAGAGGAAAAGAGCCCGGTCTTTTTCTTTTTCATTTTAGGGTGCGGGGAGTATTGTGCCACAGCCCTGAAATTCTAGATTTCCTCCTTCCCTTCCGAACGGGACTCTAATTTATTGATGATCTCTTCTTATAATATGGAAAGATATTAAGCAGGTGATCAATGATTCATATAAATAAAATAAAAAAGCAGAAACAAAGAGATGAGCCCTGCGCAACCAAAATACACAGAATATTGAAAGTTGTCATTGTGAAAGTTACTTGGCTTGCCAGTGGGCTGAAGTGACAAGTGAATTATTGATGCGATATATATGAATGTAGCTCCGAAACACTCTCTTTCTGTCCCCCTAGAATCACTCTGGGTACATCCTTCCTTTCCTATCTGACTCTCCCAGGCAACCATGTTCTGGGCTCTGTTGTGGTTAGATGGAACGTTATTGTTCTGTTGGTTCATCAGCCTGACTCCTAACTCTGAGGACAGGCTTGCTGAGGCCTGAAGTTCCCTTGGAGCTATTGAATGTTCTTGGAAAGCACCTATAAATCAGAGCATTATAACTGATGAAGAGCTTGACAGAAGTAAATCTTGCAGCCCATCCATGAGCGTAGCCAGAATTTTTGTTGGGGGTGGGTGGGCCTTTTGGGTTTTTTTGGGGGGGAGGAGAACCTCAGTTAGCTATGTATTTTTATTGATTTAGGGGGGTCAGCTGCCCCTCCCTGCCCCCCCCGGCTAAGCCCATGAGCCCATCTTGTTGACTCGGATGCATTATCCTCTACTCAAGTTTCTTCAGGGTGGTTTTGAATACCTGCGACCGAAAGGCCTCACAGGGGATATGCGTCGCTGGTAATGCTTTGTTTTGAGGTCACTGCAGACAGCAATCTCCCATCATTCAAATCAGAAACCAGAATGACTTCTGTAAATCTGGACTGGCCCTGGAAAACAGGGACGCTTATTTGAATGTGTTCCCATTCTTCCTCCATTTGTGTTCAGATGAATGTCTGAACAGAACGTACAACAGGGACTTTTTAGTTTAGAGAAAAGATGAGTAGGGAGGCAACATGATAGAAGTCTATAAAATCATCAGTGGCATGGAGAAAATGGATAAAGAAAAGTTTTTTCCCTGCCTCTCTCATAACACTAGAACTACAGTGTTACCTCCGGTTGTGGACAGGATCCATTCTGGAGGTCCAGTCGGATCCCGAGGTTTCTGCAACCTGAGGACCGCTTCTGCGCATGCATGCGTGATGAAACCCGGTCAAATACATCCAGGTTAGCCACTTTCATATCCTGAAGTTTACATAATCAGAGGGTTACATAACTGGAGAAGAAATGTATCTGAAGAAGTGTGCATGCACACGAAAGCTCATACCAATAACTAACTTAGTTGGTCTCTAAGGTGCTACTGGAAGGAATTTTTTTGTTTTGTTTCGACTACGGCAGACCAACACGGCTACCTACCTGTAACGGAGGTACTACTGTAGTGGACATTCAATGAAGCAAAATGTTGGAAGTTTTAGGACATTACAGATCCATACTAAGGTCCGATGTTTGTAATAAGCACCTATATTTTGAGGCCACTGGCTTACCTTATAGGATCTTTGTAAAGACAACTAACATTTTGCAACATATGCAAAATATTGTTCACAATAATAGTGCCAGGCTGGGCACCATATGTTAAAAGAACATAGGTCTGCCACCATAAATTGTGCATGGAGTTTCCCTATATTAACATTTCCTTGATCTTAACCTGTAGCTTTGCACCATTATGATACATGTCTTTTCCTTCTGCTGGCATTGGCCTATGGTGAAGTGGGAAATGGCAGTTCTCTGTGACGTGGGAAAGTTTAGCATTAGGTGGAGACTCATTGTGTTTTTCTTCTCTGCAGACCAAAGGCAAACTCTTAAACTAAAGGAAAGCTCAAATCAACAGTCCCTTTTCTATGATATTGTATCCTCCCCGATCACAAGCGCACATTATTTCCCTCAGTAACACAGTTTTCTTCTCAGCTTAGTTCCAGTTGTCGGAAAATTCAAATCCGTTAGAGTGTCACAAAAGGAACAATCATATCTTCACCTCCACATCCTGCCTGACTAATACTTGATTGACAGGAAAAGAAGAATGTGGCATTTCTTTCGATTTCCAGGTACGGGTATTGAATGCTTTTTCTCAAAGATCCTCTCCCCTCCACCCACCACATGGCTATGCAAGTTTACGTGCCATGGATAATCCTTTTGCCTGATATATCTGTCTTCTTGGCAATAAGTCTGCCTTTGCCACCTCTCCCAAACCATAAACACTGCAACCATCCATTTGCATCGGCTTAATTCATTTCGGTGTTCACAAGTTTTCCATTTATTTCAAAATGGATACTTCAAGTTTGGGTGGTGAAACTGACAGAACAGCCGAAAACAAAATCACAAATCCTGTACAGCTTTATTTAAAACTGTCCGGTTTGCAATACAGAATGATCTAGAATTTAACGCACATTCACATCATGGGTGGTATTCATCTATGTTTTACTTAGAGTAGAACCCCTGGAATGGAAAAAATATATATGATGAAGTTAGGTCTACTAAAGTCTGGGAGTAAAACTTAGTTGAAAAGCACCCCATGCTTTTAAATCACTCCTATACCACTTTTGCAGTCATGGCTTCCTGCAAAGAATCCTGGGAACTGTAGTTTGTTGAGGTTCCCCAAACAACTCTCAGCGCCCTTAACAAAGTACAGATCCCAGGATGCTTTGGGGGAAGCACTGACGGTTAAAGTGGTATAAGACTGTTTTAAGTATGTTGTTGTCCTTGCTCATCCACAAACTCTCTGAAAAGCTATTGGTGAAGTCACTCCATCTCATCCTCTCATTCCCTGTCTGTACAGTGGTACCTCGGGTTACATACGCTTCAGGTTACATACGCTTCAGGTTACAGACTCCACTAACCCAGAAATAGTGCTTCAGGTTAAGAACTTTGCTTCTGGATGAGAACAGAAATCGTGCTCCGGCGGCGCGGCAACAGCAGCAGGAGGCCCCATTAGCTAAAGAGGAGCTTCAGGTTAAGAACAGTTTCAGGTTAAGAACAGACCTCCAGAACAAATTAAGTACTTAACCCGAGGTACCACTGTACAGTGCTGATTAAAATTCAGCATTTTGGGGAGAGTGAGGGGTGGGCATGATCTGAAAACTATCTGTCAGAAAATCAAAGTCTATAAAAAGAAAAGAAGAAAATATCAGGAACCACCCCAGACAGAATGGAAAAAGCAATTTCAGAGAGGAAAAAGGTCACTAATATGAGAGAGCAAAGCAAATATGGCATGAGAAGCTGTAAAGAACATTTGTTTGTTACCCTTTGCAATTTTTTTTGTCTTTGCAAAAGACCAAAAATATCAGCTAATAAGTTACTCAAAAGAGTACATTTAATATTTGGCAACTCTACCTTTCTCTTTCAGTCTTTGACAAGAAATATCCTGTTTCATGTGTGTCTTGACATTTTTGTCCAATTTTCTTTATTCCATTGGCCCGTTTTTGGAATTGCCAAACGTGCTGCTTAATATCTGGCACATAGCTGACTTTGAAACATAATTTGTTCTTTTGTAACACTTCCTTCCTGTCTAGCCCTATGCACACGATTACCTGGTGATTGTCTCTCATATTGTCTTGTTTCTCTTGTGCTTTATCTTCTCTGCGGTCCTTTTTTTGCATGTACTCATGGAAGGCCTCTTCTATCATCTCCTTCTCCCTGAACAGCAACCAGCCATGTGTGTCATTTATCTGTATTTTAATATGTGGTGGTAAGATTGAGCTGATTCCTCAGTACTTTTGCAGAAAGAATCAGCTCTGTGTCAAACAGCAATCTGCATTAATGGGTGCCAATTAAATCACACACACAACCCTTTAGAGGTTCAAATATTCCAAATCTAGTGATTCATGGAGGTGACACATGGAATATGTGTGACTTTTATAACGCCATCATTACTTGCCCCTTAAATATTGAAAAAAATATAAATCAGAATTTATGCCAATAACTTGAGACATAGACAGAGCAACCCTGTCAATTGATTGCAGCAAAGTAGGGAACATGCAACACAGGAACTACAGTCGTACCTTGGCTTTCAAACAGCTTAGTTCTCGAACGTTTGGGCTCCCGAACGCCTCTAGCCCGGAAATGAGTGTTCCGGTTTGTGAACTATTTTTGAAAGCTGAACGTCCAACGGGGCTTCCACAGCTTCTGATTGGCTGCAGGAGCTTTTGTGGTGTAGTTTTCCCAGCCTGCATTACTTACAGTTTCTCTCGAAATTGTGATGATGTGTGGTCATCACTGGGGAAAGTTAAGGCTGGGAATCTGACTTGTCCAAGGTTATCTGCTGCATAACTCAGCACTGCATGCATCAGACTTATGAATTTTCTCTCTGTGAAGATAGGAAAGTTGGTTTGGCTCTCCTGCAGTGCCCCGCGGGTAGCAGGGCCTGCAAAATCAAATTTCTGTATGGTCGTTTCTTTCTTGCTGTCAGTTCTAACTAAGAGTGGGAAAGCACTTTATTTTCCTTCTCTCCCTTGTACAAAGCCCAAGAGGTAGCAGGGTAACCCCAGAGCTATAAATTTATCTGTTCAGCACCTATAAAAATCCTATTAAAATACAGAGTGGAAAAGTAACAGATACCCAGAGGAAAGCAAGGGTTATTGTAACAGCCTGTATTGTATTTAAAAAAGCAGACATTTCTTTAAACTCTGTTCCACTCACGTTAAACAATGAGATGCTGCTGAGTGTGATAGGATTTTTGTGAAACAGGACTCGGGATCAGCTGTGGACAGGATTTGTCTTTACATTTTTGCTAAGAGTAATTAATTTCACTTTGTCTGTATTAGCCAGGGAAAGTTCTTTCCATGAGGCATTTGAAGAATGAATGCGTTCTGTGATGCTTCTTCTAATTAATTAAAGTGGTTTCCCATTGGGGTTCATTCATTTCTTTTCATATCCTACATTTTATTCCATTAGCATTTATTTGGAGTGTTGCAGATGGATTAATTGTCATGGGGGAAATAACCATGCGCAGATTCACATAAGCATATAGGAGCATGGTAGCTGTTAGCTGAGAAACACGGTGATGGTTCCTTCCAAACAACTTGTTTTATTGAGCATTCATCCTGATTTGTTTGCACAAAAATTGCGGGGTGGTTAGATTATGTTGGCAATTTACTGAGCATTTATTCTGATTAGTTTGTAGGGTGTTCATACAAGCAAGCAATGCATCAAGGAAGCATTATCCTACACTTCCCAGTGCTTTTCTTGCAAAAAGTCCAATATTGGGGGGTGGGGGGTTTGTTGAGCAAGAGCACCCAATCAACTTTTGCACAACCTGAATTTGCCAGAATGTGATGGAATCCAACCTGAAATTTTTCACGTTTAATATATAATGTGGAACTGTGCACATACCCAAAGCCATGCCTTGCAGTTGCAGGTACTGTTCTCTGGAGGTTGTTTTTTGTGTTGTTGTTTTTTAAATATTATTAAGATTTTGTTGGGTTGCAAAAGTACATACTGTTTCTTTTTTCAGATCATAAAGTCCCTTCTACAGATCAGTCATATTCAGTGTGAGACTTTGATGTTGTATACAGTACAGTGGTACCTCGCTTTACAAACTTAATCCGTTCCAGAAGTCCGTTCTTAAACCAAAGCGTTCTTAAACCAAGGTGTGCTTTCCCATAGAAAGTAATGGAAAATGAATTAATCCGTTCCAGACAATGAAAAACAACCCCTAAAACAGCAATTTAACATGAATGTTACTCTGTAACAAGACCATTGATTCATAAGATGAAGGCAATAATCAATGTACTGTACTATAAAATAAATAAGACAGTATTGTAGATGACAAAAATAAAAATAATATTTTTTTCTTATGTGCACTGATGATAGTCATTGTTTGGATGGGGGGCTTTTATCCATTTCTGCAGTCACACAATCAACCAGTAGCTGAACTGGGTTCCCACCATATGTCAAAGAGAACAACAACTACCAGACTTTTAGAAGACATCTGAAGGCAGCCCTGTTTAGGGAAGCTTTTAATGTTTGATGTATCGAGAGCCAGTGTGGTGTAGTGGTTGAGAGCGGTAGTCTTGTAATCTGGGGAACCAGGTTCGCGTCTCTGCTCCTCCACATGCAGCTGCTGGGTGACCTTGGGCTAGTCACACTTCTCTGAAGTCTCTCAGCCCCTCTCACCTCACAGAGTGTTTGTTGTGGGGGAGGAA